AATACGCAGATGATACTCTTCTAATGGCAGTCACGGCACCACAGCTCGAATCATTTTTGGCATGCGTACAGGTAGAAGCATCTTTATATGGATTACAACTCAAGTACACGAAAACCGAACTACTCCGCCACCCCAGCGCACAGGCAGACATCAGCTTTGCCGATGGCACTCCAGTGCCTGTAAGCGATCAGGTTAAATATTTGGGCTCTAGGATCAGCTGGACTACTCCGCCAAAAATCGCTATTCAACACAGAATGGAACTAGCTCACTCCTCATTCATGAAGCTCCAACACATATGGCAAAGTAAACTACCCATTAAAGTAAAAACCCACATCTTCCATAGCTGCATTGTTCCTGTCCTGCTATACTCCCTGGATGTCCTCACACTAGAAACCCACTCCTTCAAAAAAATCGACGCCTGGTACCATAGGTATCTTAGACGATCCATTAAAATCAAATCCTCGTACTACTCACACATATCCAACCAGAAGGTTTGGAAAATTGCAGGCAAGCCATATTTGCCCTCCCAAACACTGCTGGCGCAACAATTTGGATTACTCCAGAGCTCTATATTAGCAAGCCCCCAGGACCCCATTCACCATGTAGTGTTCTCTCCCGGATACAAGGACCGAATCAGATTTACTAAGGCTCGCACAAGAGGACACCCCTGTAGATATTGGTTTGAACTAGTTTCCACGGAAGCAGTAAGGTTTTATAACCACCACTCCGCCACAGACCCAGAAGCCCGAAGGGACTTCCTGGGCCTCAAACATTTAATATCCAAAGACACACGGTTTGGCGACCTCTTACGCACTGCGCCAACGCGCGCGCCGAGTATTTTCCCTATGTACAGCAAGCATGTTGGAAGCGCATGGCAGCCCTAAAAAAAAAAAACCCTAAACCCTAACCCTAAGGATCTCGGAGCAAAGTCGCTGACCCAGCTCCACCAGGTAGGAGTCCAGCAGCATGGCCATGAAGGCCCCGTCCTGGAGCTTCTGCCCGCGGCGATGGTCCAGCCATTCTGAGAGCAGCAGGAAGAGGCGGCGGCGGCCCAGCACCCAGACCTTGATGGAGGGTTTAGGGTTTACAGTAGGGTTTAGGGTTTAGGGTTTAGGGTTTAGGGTTTAGGGTTTAGGGTTTAGGGTTTAGGGTTTAGGGGCTAAGCCCACTCCAACGGTAAACCTCAACCCCTCTACCACTATTGCGAAGCTTGAGGCTACCAGAAGTGGAAGGGCCAGGGCCACAGCGAAGGCGAAAGCTGCCATAATGGCAATATCCAGTTGGCGGCCTTCCTCCCACTCCTCTTTAGGGTTTAGAGTTTAGGGTTTAGGGTTTAGGGCTCTGAGACGTTGGAGTCGTTGGTGCTTGTTTCGGTCTTTGTCTATGTTTAAGGACGTGAGAAGCCTGAGAAGGAGGGACATGGCTCTTTCAGACCGATTTCATTTCCCTGTCCTTGCTCCCCAGTGCCATTTCGATTGCACGGGAGGTGTGGTAGCTGGCGAGGTTCATGAGGGCCGCATAGCTCACGGCATAGAATCGCAGAGTAGGCGGCTTCCTTCTCCAACGCAGCCATCCGGCAAGGATGAAGGCCAGGGCTGTGGTAAACGCCGACCAAATGTCAAAAAACAGCAGGGGCTCGTTCAATGCCATCTCAGTCAAAGTGCCTGCCAGCATCGTATCCAAATACCAGATCTCCATGAGGGTGCAAAACGACGGAAGCCATCGTCGGGTTGAGCGGGAGCAAAGATGGCGCTTGCAAGCGCAGCCTCTGGCCAACAAGGTGAGCCCCACCTCGGCAGAGTCCCAAACCCATGCGTTCAGTTTTAATGTTGCACCCTGTTTAGTGGGGGGGCCCCCCCCCCCCCCTGGACAGTCGAGGCGTGGATGGGAGCCTGATTACACGGCCCCCGGGGCTCATATGATTTTAATAAGGAGGAGTTTAGATAGGTTCAAAAGGGGCAGCGATGCCCGGTTATCTTTTTTAAAGGCGCGCCACGTGGAATTTTCTTACGGCGCCCGGACGATTTGTCTTTAAAGAGGAACTCCCAAACAGTCAGCGTGTCCTGAATAATTCGGCCAGTTTGTCTTTAAAGAGGGGGCCAATACTAAACAGGGTGCAACATTACTCATTACACTGATGCAACCGCACGAGCATCCGGAGCATGATCCACAAGATGCAGAGACAAGTCACTGAGATGAAGGGCTTACATTCAAGACAGACCTATCTGGGATGAGTGGATCGTTCTTCAATTTGGGAAAAATTTCGGGACATCCAGCTGTTTAGTGAAGTGCGCCCTCCTCCCCTCCAGGGGAATTGATCCCGCGGCCCTGGCAGTTGGTCTTGAACTAGCTGCTCACCCACCCCCCCCCCCCCGCCCTCTGCTGCCCCAACAACTCAGTGAAAGCAGTCAAGCGACGAGGCAAGACAGCCACCGCCCATATGGCCTTTCCAGCACCCGCGGCACAGCAGCAGAGAGGGGCGGGATGGCCATCAGGGCGCATACCAGGGGCCGTGAGTGCCTCGTTTATCAAGAGCTAGGGGCATGACACGACGTTTAACAGGTTCTAAGTAGGATGAAGGTTGGGATGTTCCCCCCTAATATGAACAGCCTTTAAAAGGGAATATATTTTATTTTCACCATTTTTAATCCCTATTGAGGACTGTTAGTATAAGGGGGGACATCCCAAGCTTAAGGGGTCGGATGGCCCTTTGCTGATTGGCCGTCAAGAAATCGAATCTACGAAGGCGGCCCCGATGCATGAAGCAGTTCAGATCAAGCTCGTCCATGGGGCAAGTCGATGCAATAGTTATCGAGGCAGCTGTCAAAAACCACCCCACCACGGACATAGCAGATATGATGCTCTCAGGCGTGCGTCCAGCAGGGAGATTGCGCCAGAGAAGGTCAGTTAGTGCTGTAATAACGACACCAGTGAACAAGGTGGCGAAGGCCAGCTGCAACACAAAGTAGAACGAGCGCATGCGCTCGATCTCGCGCTGGAGCGCAAACTCTTCGACCTTCTCCCGCTCCGACTTCCCAGACCTCTGCTAGGGCCCCATAAGGCCCTCTGAGAATTATTCCTACATAGACTCCTCTTAAACCCAATTAGGGAAAATGAAAAATATCCCATAAGTCTGCAATCCAGTACCCACTCTGAAAGTTTAGCCTTGGGTTTTTGGCAGGGCATATGGGTTTAGGGTTTAGGGTCTAGAGTCTAGGGTTTACTGTTTAGCTGTGTGCCCATCTTGGGGGGTCCCTGTAGTAAGGCCTTCAAGGAGTTGGGCTTTCTGTGGGATTTTTCTGGCGCCTGCTGGAGCACGTTGACACTACCCTAAACACCCCCAACAGCCCTAGGGCCCCTAAACTAAAGTTCTTAAAGCCTCTGTAAACAGTCGAAGACCGTAATTACCCTCAAGCCCCTTAACAAAAACAAAGCCCTTCAAGCCCTATAAACGCAATCCCCCTGGCTTGATAGCGCCTGCCCCGCGACCGAACATGTTGAATGGAGGAGCCTACCTTATTAGAGCTTAGGGTTTTGGATGGTTTAGGGGGCCTATTCCGAGGGTGCAAATACCCGAATGAACAACCAGAGCACGACCAGCAAGCAAGGACATCCCAAACCGTAAGCCCCAAACCGCAAAGCCCATAACACCCCAGAACTCGCCTAAAAAAACAGGCTTGACTGGTGTTTAGGGGGCTTAGGGCTCCAGACGGGAGACGGGATTGTGGATTCACTGGTCTGCCGCACCGGGAGGTCATCCTCCAACAGATGGGTTTGCACGAGGCTTTGGAGTTAAGGGAAGTGACACAAGCCAAGGTGTTGGGCTCTGGGATTGCAAGGTTGAAGCTGCGAGTGCTAGGGTTCACGCGGTCTTGTGATTCGAGCTCATGGTCCTGGGGTTGAGTAGCTCGCTGAAAAAGCCCACAAAGACCGCCCTAAACCCCAGAGCCTTAAAGACCGGTGCTTGGATGGATCTGAAGTTCCAGATGGCCGACCGAAACCACCCTAATCCCAAACGTGTTCAACTAGCCCCTTGGGCTGTAGGGTTAAGGTTTTAAGGGTCTGAGGGCCGAAAAGGCCCAAAATGAAAAACAATTGCCCCAAGAGGCCCCACGGCTTTAGGATTCGGCTTTGAACCCCTAAGCCCGAGGCTTGGAGGGTTCAAACCCTAAGCCCCTCAGCTCCCAAACCCTCAACCCGAAACCATAACTTCAACTCTCAACACCCAAACCCTCAATCCCCAAGCTCTAAACATGTCGGGCTGCATCCGCGGCAGGTCGCCAGCTGTCCGGGTGTCCTGCACCCTTGCCCTCATGCGAAAGGGCGGAGACCATGATGCTACCGGCCACCGGCCTCTACTGGCCTCGGGCCCCGATAGCCGCCGGTGCGTGGAGGCCTACACACCCCCAGCCCGTACCCCCCGAAGGCTCCAAGGACTCTTATTTTACGGGTTTTTGGGGCCCAAAAGCCCAAAAAACAACAGGTTTTTGCATTATTTTCACCATGCGGAGACTTTGGAATCAAGGTGCAGGGCACCCAAAAGCCCTACAACTTCTTGGTTTGGTGGGTAGGGTGCTTTGCAATTGACACCGCCGAAGCCCCAAAACCTTTAATCCTACGTCTGTCATTTTAAGTGCTCAGTGTGCGGGCAGCTGGGCGTTGGAGGGACACTTTTTCAGTTCTCCTCTACACATTTCTCCTACTTTCAGACCAAGCATACCTGCCCGGTATCAGCCTCAAACCAAGACTCCAAAAAAACTTGCATCCAAACTTTATAACCCTAGTATGACCGAAGTACCTGAACCCTAGGGCTTAGGGCTTTGAGGCTCCGAGCTTCTGCTTAGACTTTTGCGTTTGGGGTCCTCAGCCTTAGAAACCCTGAATTGCGGTTTAGGGTTTAGGGTTTAGGGTCTAGGGTCTCGGGTTTAGGGTTTAGGGTTGTGGGACTGAAGTTTAGGGCTTAGGGCTTTGGGAAATTTGCCCCTAACAGGAACTCGGACCTTGTCGATGACGCGCAAAGCACGGACCTCGCAGGACACCCCTCCAAATTCTGCTTATTGCTTGGGCGCCCTACATATAGGGAAGTGATCGCTCATCTGTATTCGGACCCTCAGGAGAGGGTTGCTGGTAGCTCCGTCGGTGGGAGTGGCATCTCAAGATGCTTTGGTTACATAGTTGCCTGCCGGCACCTGAAGAGACATCCCGTCTCTTGACGGCGTAGCGATCAAGCAACTAATCCAATGTGGTAGAGAAGATACTCGCAATGACGCGCTTTACAGGAAGCTTACAGCTTCACGCAACGGAATCAGGAGCGTGGACTTCAGACGGGTACCAAAAACAGAAATCGCAGCTTACACTGAAAATGACGGCACACCCATGTGACGACCCTCAGGAAGCCCAACACCCCCAAAATATAGGGGGAAAGGCACCTGAGTGAGGCCCTGACTCTCCTTAAACCCTAAGCCTGAAATCAGGTGCATCACAACTCAGCTGCATTTAGGAGGGTTTAGGGATTTTAGGGTGCCACAGTGCTGCCTCCAGGGACACATCAAGCTCTCCGCCAGTAAGGTCCTGCGGATTTGGCACGAAATATACAAAGAATATCAAAGGACCTCCACACCGAGAGCCCGAATAAGGTTGTGGGGGTTTCCGAAATAGGGTACCCTTTTTGGGGGGGGGGGGTTCCTAGTAAGTCCTGGTGTTTTGTGGTCTATGAGTGGGAGCCCTATTTTGGGGAATGCCCCTGTAGCGTAGGGATACAAGCCCGCAGCGTTGAGTGGTCTGACTTGCATCCCGGAACACTTCGGGTTTAGGGTGAGCCACCGTCAAGCCGACTCGTGTATCCTAAACCACAAACCCGACAAATCACACACCCTAAGCCCTACACCATCCTACACCCTGAACCCTAAACCCTATACACCCGATAGCCTCAACCCTACACCCAAAACCCTCAACCCTAAACCCTGAACCCTAAACCCGAAACCCTGAACCCTAAACCCTATACACCCTAAACCCTATACACCCTAAACCCTCAACCCCAAACCCTAAATCGATAAGGATTCCAGCCAAGGCTTCAACCGGTAAGCGATCTAGACGCTCAGGCCGTCGCCCTTTCCTCTTCCCGGCTTGCACAACAGCCCCGAAACCCCTACTTGAAGGATCACTTGGGTAGTTATGAGTAGGGTTTAGGGTTTAGGGTTTCGGGTTTGGGGTTTAGGGTTTAGGGCTACTTGCAGGTTCGTGGGTAGATGTAAGTAGGTTTAGCAGTGCCCTAAATACGGTTAAAACCAGCTATAACTCTAGTTTCCTACTTTGACCCCCACTTCTGAACATCCATGAATCTCCAAGTCCAAGTAAACCTATAACTATGGCTATCCTACTGCGACCCCCCTAACCTATAACTATCCATGAACCTCCAAGTAAACCCCGACCTCGTCCAGCGTGCCACTGAGTGTCAGCGTGAAGGGCGTGGTGCGGGAGATCGGGTCTGGAACCAAGTTGATGCTGACCTGGTTTAGGGTTTAGGGCATGTTTAGGGTTTAGGGTTTAGGGTTTCGCTCGGGGAGCCCCATACCCTTACTTCTCCAATAACCAAGGGGGAAAGAAGGTTAAACTCTAATATTCCTACTAAATAAGGAAACCCAAAAAGTTTAAAGTTCAACTAAAGGCGAAGTAAGTGCCCCGGCACCCTTCAAGCACCTACGGCTGAAGGTGCTGTTTTTTTGTTGGTGGTGCCTTTTCTACTTTGTGTTGCGCTTCCTCGTCTAGGAAACCTCATTTGGGAAACATGTTCCGATCATCTTCTTGAAGCTTCTCAAGCCGCGTAGTGTCATTTCGCCAAGCCTAAGGGACAATGAGCAGAATCCAAATTCTAACTACAACCTGAAGGCTTCAATCTAAGTCTTTTTTGTGTTATTTGTAGGGGGTTCTAGTATGCTCCATCAAAGAAGGTACTGCATTAGGAGCCTTCAGGCGGGGTACAGGGTTTAGTTTAGGGTTGAAGGTTTAGGTTGTTATTTTGGGTTCCGCAGAGTCTCCTCATCAGATGCTGTGGGCAGTGAGACCTTTGCCCATACCGGTGATTAGGGACATTGCGGGGTCCAGGGTTTAGGGTTTTAGGTGGGGATGCTGTTTCGAATCAGGGTCCCAATGAAAGATATCTCGGAGGGGGTCGGAATGCTAAACGGCCGCCAGCTCGAAGACACGCGAACAACATGAGCACAATGACCCTGCAAACCCTGGACCCTCAAAGGGAATCTACCAGCACACCCGGAACTCTGGCCAAATTAGGGTTTAGGATTTAGGATTTAGGGTCTAGGGTTTTAGGTCTTACGGTTCAGGGGCTTTGTGGGCGTCGTGGACCAACCGCTGGGCCACTCCGCGCGGATGCAGGAGATTCTTCGGGATTTAGGATTTAGGTGGCAGCCGGAGTGAAGCCGCTGCGATGGCCTTCTTCTTGCCTGCCTCTACCTTGGCCCACTCCGGTTCTGCGACCGCGCGGAGGTACAGCCACCCCACCGATGATGCCGGCAATGTTGCGCATTGCTGTGGCACGATGATGACGTCGTGCTGACGGAAGTGGTCCAAAATAAGCTGCGTGGCCTCCTCGGACAAACCGTCCCGCCAAGTAGGCGCTGGAACGTCGGTTTAGGGTTTAGGGTCGAGGTCGGGGTCGCCTTGCGCAACAATGCCCTTCGCTTCCTCTTCACCGGATCCTTCTTCGGACTCACTTCCCGATGGGGAGTTCTCTGTCTCCTAGAACCCTAGAACCCTAGAACCCTAGAACCCTAGAACCCTAGAACCCTAGAACCCTAGAACCCTAGAACGCTAAAACCCTAAAACCCTAAAACCCTAAAACCCTAAAACCCTAAAACCCTAAAACCCTAAAACCCTAAAACCCTAAAACCCTAGAACCCTAAAACCCTAAAACCCTAAAACCCTAAAACCCTAAACCCTCACCCTGAACCTCCTAAATCCTGAAACTTCAAGTTGCAAGAAGCCACAGCTGGGCTTCCCACGTCCGAAAGGTGATCGTGGGCCCCACCGCAGTTTGTGACCTGGACTTTAGGGTTTAGGGTTTAGGGTTTAGGGTTGAGGGTTTAGGGTTTAGGGTTTAGGGTTGAGGGTTTAGGGTGTATCTCAGAGGTTCCTCTAGTGCGATTGATTTCTTGGGTAGCATGTCATACCAAGATAGGACCACATGCTTCAAGAGGTTAGGTGCTGGTCGAGCTCACAAGGACGGTCAAGGGGCACTGCGCCAGGACAGTCAAGGCTGTCAACACAAGGCTGCGGCCATACTCCGCGGCCTAATGTGGCATTCGAGCCGGCCACCAAACTCCTCAGGCTCCAAGCCCCCCACAAAACCCCCACTGGGGGTTTACGAAAGTAAGGGACCCTTGATATAGATAAGGGCCCCACTAAGGTATCCCTAATTTCGCAAAGCTCCAATATACGTATGCCCTGAAACCAGCAACCAGCCACTGAGCAGGCAAAGAGCGAAGCAGTGCCATAAAGCAGGTCAAAGCAAGCAAGCGACAGGCTGCAGGGGATGGATGTAAAAACCTTCCACGATCTCCGAACCGGGGCAGCTCCCCTGAACCCCAACTCACCTCAAAGCCTCCAAAATGCCGATAATCCGCAAACTTGCAGGCCCTAAATCCCTTCAACCCCTAAACCGATAAATCCATCAACTCTGAAGGCCCTTACCCTGAACCCTACATCTCTTAAACCCCTTCGGCCGAAGTAAGGCCCAAGCAGATGCTGCTGTGGCAACAGAAGCCAAGCCCAACACTCTCAGCACCTTCCCAAGAAGGCGCAGTAGTCTTAAATGCGAGGAAGGAGGCGGCGTTTTAAAATTTAGCTGCTGCATCTATTTTGTTCCTTGCTATTGTTGTTATCACGACCATGCTGATAGCTACTTTCTACTAACATGCGTTTGCGTGTTGAAATATCAAGGCGGGAAGAGAGCTACCCGACGCACAGAAAATGCCTGAAGCATCCCACAAGCCTTGTGCTTCAGAGTTGCTACTAGGGTACGTAGTCTTTCTGCACGGGTTTTCCAAGTGTGAATTTAAGGCCTTTGGCAGGTCATGGCAGGTACATAGCTTGGCTGTTAAGGACGGAGTTTGCCTGGGCTTCGTTCCCTAAACCCTAAACTCTAAACCCTAAACCCTAAACCCTAAAACCTTTTCTGTTTAGGTAGTATCAATAGGGACTAAAGGATCCTCAGAGCCCACCTTTGGCTGACCTTGCAAGAGGCAATCACAGCACAATCACAGCCAAGCGCCCGGCTCCACGCTAAGAGTAGTTACATGGTCCTTTGATATGGTCCCTGTATTGCGGATTCCTGTTATACCCCTTATATACCCCCCAAAAAAAAGCGCTCCCCCCCCACCCCCCCCCCCCCCCCCCCCCCTTCCCAAAAAAAAAAAAAAACTCCCCCCCGCCCCCTGCTTCAACAAGAAACGGGGCCCTGGCGCGGATTGAGGCCATGGCTTCGTCAGCTGCTGATTGGGCTGCTGCTGAGCGCTCTTGGATGCTTGCATACGTCTAGGAACACTGGCTGAATTAGCAGGGTAGTCTAACTAACTCAAGAGTACTATTTCTAACATGAGTTCATTAGAGTCCTCCACATGATCATGGTTGGAAGCCTTTGAAGTGGCTAGCTCCATGTTCATGACTGCCGCCTTTGGGATCGGCGGTCCGCAAGCAACCCCGAAACCCCACAACTCTGTAGGCTATCAACAAGCATGTATGTACATACAGGGAGAAGGGCAAACTAGAAGCCCTAAACCCTAAACCCTAAACCTTAAACTCTAAACCCGTACGTGGAGCCTCAGGCGCGACCTACAACAGGGTCTCCCGTAGCCGCCCGAGCTTCTGCCGTGTCCTCCTCGTCCGACGACATCACCTGGCGCGATACCCAGCTCAAAAGGTGGGCTCATATGGTTATAAGGTTTAGGTTTAGGGTTTAGGGTTTAGGGTTTAGGGTTCAGGGTTTAGGGGTAAGTACAGAAATAAGTACAGTTGCAATTGGTTGGTAAGTACCATGAACCTCCAGGTAGGGTGTTTTTGGGTAACCCGCTGTACCGAGTACAAATAGCACAAACAACAGTAACAAAAGCAAGTAGCTCTTATTTGCTGAATTTCTCGTATATTGCATTACATTATCTTGTGTTTTTATTCGTATATTTCATACAACTACAAATATTAAGGTATTGAACTCACCTGTGCTGATTCCAACCCTCTTCCTTTTGTGATCGGGGTCAAGTGTTGTAGACTCCTTTGGATGCCCCCGGGCGCTCTGCCAGAGAGCATAGCATGGGGGCCTGAATGATTCGAATAGGGCTTTGGGGGTTATTGCAGGAAAATTACAAAGGGACCCTAAGGGAATACTATTTGTAATATATGTATTCCGACCCCTATAAAGGAGGGTCCCTTGACTGCCAAGCTGCCCTATAAAGGCCGTTTTAAGGGGTTCTCCATCCTGGTATAGAAGCCTTCAATCCGAAAGCCTGAGCAACGGCCAAAAGCACTGAGCGCTTCGCAGCCAGTGAGAGAGGGGGTGGCCTCAGCGGTTTAGGGTTTAGGGTTTCGGGTTTGGGGTGGTTTTGCTGTCCTTAAAGAGGACGGGGTAATTACAGACGAATGGGTTCGAGCGAGAGCGAATGCGCGAGAGCCTCTGCATGCGAGCGTCTGCAAGACAGGGGGAAGGAGAACGTCGGAAGCAAAGCACAGAAGCCGAATCTCAGAACATCAACGAAATCCCTGAGCCAGAACACCATGCACAACTAGCAGCTGCAACTGCGCGGAACCTTGTAAGACAAGAAACAGCATGTCCAATATTTTTCTTCCCGGGACTTTTTCTTGGTAATGATTGATTCTTCTGTACTAGCCTCCATCCTAAGGACCGAGCCTGCCGACCCTAGCCCTAAACCCTAAACCCTAAACCCTAAACCCTAAACCCTAGACCCTAGACCCTAAAAACCCTAAACCCCAAAAATCCCAGCCCGCTGAGTTCCCAGGCTCTCTGCCGGCGACCATGAGGGGCGGGGGAAACTTTCCCAGTCCGGAGGCCTCCCACATCGGGCTTTAAGGGTCTACGGGGGGTTAACCGACCTAAACCCTAAACCCTAAACCCTAAACCCTAAACCCTAAACCCTAAACCCTAAACCCTAAAGCTCAGGGCCCATTGGGTAGTAAGTACTAACTGTCCTCGCCACATGGGCACGGCTCCTCTACATGTAGCCCTTCTTAGGGCGTAGGGCTTAGGGTTTAGGGTTTAGGGCTTAGGGTTTAGGGTTTCGGGTTTAGGGCACCCCGAAGTTCTCTACAAGTAGCCCCTTCTTCCCTCCCACCCTCTCACTACCCCCAAACCCCAAAGTTCTGTGGAATGCATTGTAAACTGCGGCCCCATAAGTAAGCTTTTCTGAACATCCCCTAAACCCCAAACCCCAGAACCTAAACCCTAAACCCCAAAACCCCAAACCCTAAACCCTAAACCCTAAACCCCAAAACCCCCAACAGCCCCAAACCCTGAACCTCCAATAAGGCTGGCTCTCGCTTAACAACGAACCCGATCCCGCAACCCAACTATAGAGGTCTTCACAATACCACTGGGGTTTCGGGTTTAGGGTAGCTATGGGTAGTATAGGGGCCTTGAGAATTTTAACAGGTTTTGAAGGTCATTCTAGTCTAGTTACATACAAGTAGGGTCAACAAGTAGTAACAGTTCCGATCCCTATAGTACTTTGAACCCAAAATCCCCCAGGCCTAAACTCCAACACTCAACACTCTTAAAACACCCTAAACCCAGAACTTCAAACCCTGAACCCTAAACCCTAAACCCTAAACCCTGAACCCTGAGCCCTAAACCCTGAACCCCCATAGCTCAAGCTTCAGATTCACACTCAGGCCTCAAGGTTCGCATCCGGAAGCTTGGATCCCTTCGAGGTTGGGGTTTAGGGTTTAGGGTTTAGGGTTTAGGGTTTAGGGTTTAGGGTTTAGGGTTTAGGGTTTAGGGTTCAGGGTTTAGGGTTCAGGGTTTAGGGGTTGGGGTTGAGGGTTGGTGCGGGGCAGGGGCATTTGTTCTTGTTGCTGTTAGAGCCTGTTGGGATGCTCCCCCTGCAGCTCCTTAATAAGGATGATCATAGTGGGGGGGCACTTTCATCCCGATGAAGGAGCCGTTAGTATAAGGGGGAACATCCCAATGTGTCTGGGATCTGATGGACATCGGGCTTTGCGAGGCTGGATCTTGGTGCAATTGGCTAGAAAAAAACACGTGTCACTTGGCTGTTTCACCCAAATTCCCTTCGACAAAATTCTGGATCTGTATATTGTGTTCGACATTGACAACTTTCTATCTGCAGCCTGCAGAACTTGAACAAATTAAATTCTCGCATGCTGGGCTTCAATGTCTGTGCTAGCCCTGGAAGATACGAACCTTCTCAAGCCGGGCAGCACGTGCGCTCAGAACAACTTGACGGATCGAAGGAATAGTTGCCACGAGCTGACTTTTCCGATTTATTTTGAGCGTCGCAAGACTAGGCTCGAGCAGCGTGTACATCAACTTTGTTCCGATTCGTCTGCGTTCGCCCATAGCAAGATTGAGAAGTTCAACGAATGCTGTCGCAGATTCAGTGTATTGTTCCCATACATGCGATGTTAAGCCGCTCTTTCCCCGCGCGCCATGCTGAATCGTTGTCCCTTCCCGACAGCATCTCAAGATGATCCTTAGAGCCATATGCACTGTGGACCCCATCTTGGCAAGCTTCGTCGACATGCAAGTTTGGTTTTGGGGTGGGAGTGGGAGAAGATTTGGAGTCATTGGGCCTTTTAGATCTGAGGTTTGTTTCTTGTTCATTTTGTGTTTCCAGCGCGTACGTTTTTCGGAACAGCTATTAGATGTGCGAGTTTGGGAAGCCGGTTTGGTTGAACTTATAGAGGCAGCTCTTTGAATTGTGGTCCTGTTTTGGGCGCAGAGTAGAACTTCTAGCAGAGACCCAATTGGGGAGCACAGTTTCAGGGAACTGGTCATCCCACCATGAGATCCTTTTGAAAACCTAGCATGAGGAATTCCAAACAACTCCCAAGGCTCCTCCTGGCATGTTAAACCCTAAGCCTTCAAGCAATTATAGGGTTGTTTAGGGAAGAGAAAATTCATGGGAGTAGGTACCCTAAACCCTGAACCCTAAGCCCTAAACCCTAAGCCCTAAACCCTAAGCCCTAGGGAACTTTAGGCAAGCTTAGGGAGCCTTAGGGAGTGGGGGGGTTAGAGAAGCTTGGGTTACCTACCTTCTGGAACCTCCCTTTCTTAAGGACCCTCTAAATCAAGGGACTAAAGGAGGGACCCTTCTAAGGGACCAACATTAAGTGCTGCTTAGGTATATACGGGACAATAGAAGGTATATAGATGTGTTATATAGGGGAAGACGATGAAGGGCCGTCTCCCCCTTGTATCCCTTGAACAGAGGCTTTGGCGGGCTCGGCCTCTGCAATCAGAGCCTGCGTCTGGAGAAGGTCGCCAGCTGTGACCTCCGGGTCCAACGCCACCTGCGGCTGAGGCCGCCTAAGCCCCGGAGGTCTTCTTAGCGAGACGTTAAAACCGAAACCCTAAAACCTAAAACCTGAAATACCCTAAACCTTAAACCCGAAAACCCTAAACCCTAAACCCAGAAAAGCCCTAAGCTCGTAACCCTAAAAGGGTCTTCTAGGTTGGTGGGAACCCCACAGAAACGGTAGGTAGCCCCTTCGTTTATTCTGAAACACCCACATGACGATGACAATATTCTCGCATCCTATACAATTTAGCATGGGGGGGGGGCCTTTGCTAAATCGCAACCCCCAACTCAAATACGTCAAAGAGGCTGAACCCTAAAAGGCCCAAACCCCAAACCCTAAACCCTAAATCCGAGCTCCTAAATCTGAAAATCAGCGAAATCCTGAACCCTGGGGTCTCCGGCCGTGCGCTCCAGGTGCAGAAGGAGCCCGCGAACGCGGGCGGCTAAAGCCTCGAAGTGCAACCCTAAGGGCTTAGGGTTTCGAGGCTTCCGATTCTCATGCCCTATAAACCCTACTTGGAGTCTTGGAGGTTCATGACCAGTTCTAAGTAGGTTTGCAAGTGTTCTAAGGTTATATGTGCATAGTTTTCACCCTACTTACAACTACCTGCGAAACTTCCAAGTACAAACTCTAAACAATGCCGGATAGTTTAGGTGTTCAGGAGGCGTCGAGGGTTTGGGATTCAGGAGCCCGAAGCAGACACTGAAGACAAGGAAAACGACTGACAAAAGTCCCTGCTAGACCTTGCAAGGTGATGATGGGCGCGATGTTTTCGAACTGTCTGCCCTGAATACCCCCGAGCCAGGGACCAACCCAAGCTTTGCCCATTGTGCGCACAAGCGAGATTGAACCCTTTGTATGTACCCCCTCCCCCCCCCCTGCCTCCCCCCTCCCCGCATGCCAAATACAATAAAGACGCTGTGCACACGACC